AGGGCTCCTTAATAGTGCTTTTATTTTTGTTGTTAAGCATCTTTAAAATGTCACGCACCTTCTTTCTTTCTAATCCTCTGTGCCTTCTTCTGTTCCAGTGACATAAGAGATTTCAAAGTTTTTTTTTTGTTTTGTTTTGTTTTGTTTTGTTTTGCTTTTTGGGTCACACCCAGCGATGCACAGAGGTTTCTCCTTCACTCAGAAATCAACTCTGGCAGTGCTCAGGGGACCATATGGGATGCTGAGAATTGAACCCGGGTTGGCTGCATGCAAGGCAAACGCCCTACCCGCTGTGCTATTGCTTCAGCCCGAGATTTCAAATTTTTGATGTTTTATTGTTGATGCTGTTCAGGTAACATGATTACAACAGTGATACCCTTTAGAGTTCAGGGGAACAGTGACCACCAAGTGGCTTAGACTCTCCACTGATGTCCCTGGAATGAATCCCAAACCCAGTCACGGTGTATGATCTTTTTGATATGTTGTTGGATTCAGTGTAGCAATATCTCTGCTCTTGGAATTAGACTCATATTGGCTTTGTGGGAGGTGTTAGGAAGGATTTTAACATTTCTTCAGCGTTTTGGGAGAGCTTAAAGATTATAGGTAGTAGGTATAAAAACTCTTGCCGAATCAGCCATCAGCCGGCTAAGGTAAGATTAAAGTCCTCTGTCCAGCCCACGATAATGTTTTTAAAACTGATTTCAGTGGAACAAGTTTTAACTTTGTCATCTTGGCCTTTTGGATGGAACCATAAAAAATGTTGATAAAGCAATATATTTTACGTCACTAAACACAGAAAAGAATTTTGTTCTTAGCAAATACAAGTAAGATAGAATTCACAGAAGTATAATTTGTTAATGTACCAAGTAACATAATGTGTCGCCCTCTTCTTTATGTGACTAGTGTTCTGCAGGATAAAGTTAATCAACTTGCTGTTGATGGGGTGGGGCGGTGGGGATGGGTAGCACATGCCCACATTTCATAGTTCCACAGTGTTTGGATTAGCTCCTGATGGACTCAGAGGACCAGGCTTGTGGGACTGAACCCATGCCTTCTGTATACAAAGCAAACACTATGGAGTCACTATGCCCTTGGAGTCACCTCTAAGCCAAAATTAATCTACTCGTTGAGGGTTAGGGTAGGCTACTCTTGGTAGGGCCTAGGGGCTATTCCCTGGCTCTGGGCTCAGATGGGCCCCTGTGATGCTTAAGGAACTGTATGTGGTGCCAAGGACTCAAGCTTGGGTCAGCAGGTTCCATGGTAAACGCCTTAATCCCTGAGTTATCTCTCCAGCCCTACACTTTTTGCGGGGTAAAGGTGGGCACAACTCTTGATGCTCAAGTGTTAACTCCTGGCTCTGGACTCAGGAAGCATTCTTAGTGGGTCTCAGAAAAGTATATGGGAGCTAGGGATCGAACCTGGGTTGAGCACATGTAAGATAAGCGTCCTACCCACTGTCATATTTACACAGCCCTCTATCCAGCCCTGCTTTTTAATTAAAATTAGCCAATAGGGGATGATAGAGTTTGAATATTTAAAATAGAACAATAAAAGGTCTTGGGATTATTCTTGTTGTAAGATTCACGAAGTAACATGATAAGAAGGGGTTAAGTTGCCTTGCTTGATAACCAAGTATGCCGGGACTGGGGATATAGAGACAGTAAAGAACATCTGGTCAAATACTTCCTGTGTCCTATTTCCTGGTGCTGACTATGCAAAGAATGCCATCTTTATGCATCACTTTTTCTTGGGAAGTGCCAGGGGGCGGGATGTGGAGGCAATTCTTCCAGCAATTTCAGCCAAATGGGCCAGCATTTGCAAGGACCCCAGGATGTCGCCCCCCCCTTGGGCCTTGTGATGCCGGATTTCCCACTGTGCTTTTATATCTGTGTAAATGTGCCTCCCTCAGTAGTTTTCTCCTTGGGATTGGAGTAATAGTACAGAAAGCAGGGTGTTTACCTTGCACATGACCAACCCAACCCGGGTTCAATTCCCAGCATCCCTTATGGTTCCCTGAGCACCGTCAGGGATAATTCCTGAGTGCAGAGCCAGGAGTAACCCCTGTGCATCACCAGGTGTGGCCCAAAAAGGAAAAATAGTTTTCTCCATCGAACTTGGGGATCCCAGTTTGTCATCTGAGGAGCCCAGAGCCCACTCCCAGTAATACTCAGCCAGGCAGTTGGTGGTTCAGTATCAGGACCTGTGGTGCCAACAACCAACAACCATACTGCATTTTGGGGAAAACTCCAGTGCTACCCCTATAATTTGCGGGGTCATAAAAATCATAAAGTGCTGGGGATTGAACCTGGGTGGGTGATACATCCAAACCCCTGAAGGATCTCCCAGTCTCAATGATTTCTCGAATTCTCTATTATGAGACTTATTAAATTAAGTTATTCATTTTTTTGCCAGCTTTCTCCCACGTTCACTGGGATCATTGTACCCTTCCCCATTTGTTAATGCTAGGATTTTTTTTTCCTGCTAACATTTGAGCATAGAAACGTTTTAGTAAAATAGAGTGGTTCTTCTGGATGCCCTGTAATACTCTGCAGGTTTGAGCAATGTTTTGTGCACCATCCATTTGAAGGGCAGTCAATGTTAGCATTATGATTTACACATTCTGTTTTTCCCAAATATCAGACAGCAGATGTGAATATCAAAGACCATGCAGCCGTAGGCACAGTGCGATTCATTAATGATGCCCAGGTATTTGGTTATTTTGGAAGGATATATCCTATTTCATGGCATTTAGACAATGATTGGTTGCTAACCTCAGTCTCAGAATTGAGGGGAAGGAAATCATTTGGGAGGAGGTTTTGTTTTCTACTTTTATAATGGCAGAAGTTTCCCTGTGCACGATAGACGCCACTAACATATGATTAGTTTTGAATATAGAAGCTGAACTTTAGCAAAAAGATCTTGACCCAAAAGAAAAAGGAAAAGGAAAGATTTCAGTTTCAGCATTATCTTTCTTCCTGACTCACCCTGTTGAACTGAGTTTCATTTATCCTTTTATATGAGATCATGCTCCTTCGATTCGCTACGTGTAATCCCGCTGGAGTGAGAATTGTGCTGGGAATGTGGGTGATATATTTAATACTGAATGTTGATACTTGCCTACACACAAAAATTGTAAAGTTCATGGAATATATGTGATGTGGATAGATGCATAGTCAAACCTTTAGGCTTATATTGTAGATAATGGGAAAATGGTCTTCACTTTTCAGCTATACAATTTATATGTCATTTCTCTAGGAAATAAATGTGAACTCCATATTTACGTTAGTCTCCTGGTCAATAATCTAAGAATTTGAGTATAAATGTTTCCCAGGTGGAAACTGACTTTCAAGCTGTTATATATACAATTAAATTTAACCCATTTAGAATCTGAATTGGCATCCGCAGATCTTTTCTCTACAAAATACACAGGAGGTGTTCTTTCAGACAATTGCAGCCTGTTACCAGCAAGTATTCAGGGTTTAAGGTCATGACATTATGATGGATGATAACAAATTTCTAAACATATCGGTCCTTTCCATCTGCCACTGCACTATTATGCCTTGCAACATAATTAATTCAACAGCACTGCCTTCAAATCACTATTCACAATTGAATTCGAACTCGAAAATGTATCTGTCAGCAATTCTTAAACTTTTGTTATCATGGCTTGTTTTTTTGTAATCTCTCAATTCTTGTAACATCCTGGTTTATGCATGTGTGTGTGTTTGTGTGTATGCATGTGCATGTGTGTGTGTGTGTGTGTGTGTGTTTCAACCATATAGTTAACTATCTATTGCTTACTATTAATGAGGACATGGTAGGCAGGGGTCACACCCACCACCTGGCCCCCTGGCGCCGTGTAATCCCATCAGCGGCCAAGACTCAGAGACTATAAAATCCAACTCCGGGAACCGCATTCGCGGGCACGCAACATCTTATCAGGACATCTTTTTATGACATCTTTTTATCTCATTCCTACTTTGGACAAACTTGCAGGCTATCGAATGTAGCCTGCCCACAGGGCAGAGTCTGGCAAACTCCCTGTGGCATACCAAATATGCCAAATACCAGTAACAATGATGGGTCTCATTCTCCTAAAGAGCCTTGAATATAATCTCAGGGCTAGGATGAAAGAGACGTTACTGGGGCCTGCTCGAGGCAATCGATGAATAACAGGATGATGAATGAAAAAAAAATGAATGAATGGTGCTAGGGATGTGGGATATTTCATAGGTCAGACCAAGTTCTTTAAATCCTGGAACTTATTAAAAAAACATTTTTCTGTAATAAAATGCATCCAATGCATTTAAATGGTATATCAAGGACTATAGAATTTTGCTGGAATTTCAGAGATACACACACAAACAAATTATCAAAGAAGGTTTGTGACCATTATCTAGTAATCGCAGTGCCAAGGACAGACATTCCAGAAGCCAAGCACTTTTATTTTGCTCACCATAACAGTGTCTTGAGTCCTGCAGAAGACGTAGATGGATTTGACGTGAGCACCGTGAGTTTGGAAAGGCTGTCTGAGCATGCATTAAATATTACCCGCCACAAAGATGAAATGAAAGTGTTCTTGCCTAAATCAAACAAATAAGACATTCCATCACAGGAATTGTGTGTGCACTAGATACTTAAGACTGTGGAGAGCAGCATGCAGTAAAAACCACCGGGGCTACTGACCCCTGTTAGCTTCGGATTCTGTGTTTCAAAGTAGAGTTTCAAAGCACTTCATTCTTACTATGGAGAATGCTTGCAGCCAGAGGTTGTAGAATCAGGGAAAGAAGGGATTAAGGATTAAGAATACGGAATGTGACAGGGACATGGGGGCTTGTGAGAGAAAAGGGGGCCAAAGCCAAGGTCCTGCTTGTCAGTGAATGTGAAGGTCACCATGGGGTCCTGCAACCCTTTGTGAGGGTCCTATAAGTGGAGTCTCCCGGCCCTATCTAAACTTCCACCTCTTTTCGCTGATCTTTCTCCATCCTTTACCTCTGCAGAACGATTCAATGTGTACCTTATGCCGACACCAAATTTGGATATTTACGGGGAATGCACCATGCAGATCACTCACGAGAATATCTATCTCTGGGACATTCACAATGCCAAGGTCAAACTGGTCATGTGGCCCCTCAGCTCCCTGCGGAGATACGGGCGGGACTCTACGTGGTTCACCTTTGAGTCTGGAAGGTAAGCGTTTGGGCTGTAGCCAAGGCAAGGGCGGGAGGTCTGTGACGGGGTGCCCCTGCCCCTGCATCCCAGGGCATCCGGGTACCCGTGAGGGGGAGTGATCATCACACACCTAACTATGCCAGGCACTTGCTGACAACGTGTATCAAGTGACGTTTAATTTCATGAATTTTTAGTTACCCTATTCGAAATCACTTCATACTTCAGCATCATACTAGGTTTGAAAGTGTTTTAAATTATACAATATATGTTCCCATTTTATTGCAGTACTTTATTTCAGTGTATCCTTATGCAGAAGGATACCCATAACACTTAGGATATCCTTGATGGCATATTTTGTGAGTTTATCATGAGCAAACAGTTTTGCAAAGAGTCTTCTATAAAATCGTTTAAATAAAACTTTCTGGGTTTGAGATCATTAATTCCATATTTACTGAACCATGTAATTTTCATAGCATTAATGAAGTACAATGTTCATTCAAAATGACTGAAGAAATGGAAGTCAGTGATTTATGAAAAGCATAATTTAGATTTTAAAGTTAGCAGGTCAAGGCAAAAATGTTGGTTTATTGATCACAGCATATGATTGGAATCCAGAAATGTCAGAAATGAATGCTGATTTCACAATAAGTATTCACAGACACAGTTTAGCCATGAACTTCAAACACTAAATATCTTGACATTGTGACCTCTAGGATATTGTCAAGCCAAGATTAGACTTAGGTCTGGGGTTCCATACCCGTGATGTCTCCTGTGTCAGTTCTCACAGAAAGACCTAAATGATCACATCTCCCAATGGTTCTGTCATCTCACAGTGTATTAATTCTGAGGTTCTGTTAACTTGATAGCACAACTTTAAATTCATAACTCTCTTATCACATTGTCAAATGCTCGTTGGAAGTCAGATTTTAGTGATAGCTATCTATGGAAAATCATATGTATTTTAAAGTTTTAAGAAGATCTTTTTTAAAACCCCTGAGCTGAAATAAGTTTAAAAGGTCGAGGCCCTTTTGCAAGGCTGTGATATTCTGGTTTCTACCATACAGATCTTCCACAGACCCCCAGTGCCATATTTACTTCGTGTTTACAACTCACCAAATTTCTCTTTACCTGATCACTGACAGAGTACATCACATGTGGATCAATTATATGGAACTAAACATTCTCATAAATAAAAAGTACATTTTTAGATGTGCACACCTTTTAAATTGTATGGTTGTGAAAAAGGGTATTATAGTTTAGAGATTATTGACCTAAAATGGATGATGCTTTTTTACTTGAGTTGAAAGTTTGTACATGTTTATGGAAAAGGAGATGATTCATTTTTCTTCAGCTGACAGTTCAGCCCCACCCTTTTAATTGAATTTTATTATTTTTTAATGTAGATAAATTTATTTAGGCTCTTCCCTCATTTCCAGGGTGGTCATGCAGCAATTTAAATGACTATAATATTTGATATATCCGTACACAAAATTTCCACTCAATTTATAGTATCCAAGTCATTTTTGCCAGTTTTTTTGTGCCTCAAACTCTTTTAGGGTAATATCTTAGCCATCCCAGATTTTAAAGTTGAACATTGTCAACCAAAGTGACCAACAACTCAGTGTAAAACTTGGTCTATCCAATAGTCAGTAATAATTGGTCTTTATGATTTTTAATCATTTTAAGATGCATGGAAAGAAAAATATTAAGATCAAAATAGATATTGTCTATTATCCAGGAGGTATTTCTGCTTTAATTTTGTTCAATTTTGTTGATTTACAAGGTCATTATTTGTTTGCAGGTATAACTTTAAAAAAATAAATAAATGCCTTTAGTATATTAAAAAAAATCACACTTAGACTCCTATGTACCCTGGGATTTAGAAAACTAGATTTAGACCACAGTTCTGTAGTTTATTAATAATTTAGTCTGGGCCGTTTTACCTCTCTGGCTTTTGGTTTTCTTCTCTTCACTATTAGGAGAATAGTGATCTGTATTTTTTACTGTGTTTGGAGAAGCTGAATTAGAGACTATAAAGCAGCAAGAAACATAGTAATTGTCACATAATGGGCATGTAAGATCTTATTTACCTACTCTAAGAAATCATACAATTTGTCATTTTCTAGTTTCTGAAAGATGCTTCTACTTAGATATGAAAAATTGTCTTCCTAGAGAACACTTACCATATATTTTTTACCAAAGACACCGGAAACATAGTAAAGATAAACCCAGGAAAAAAAAGTAGGCACTTAATTTCCTATGCTGAAGCCATCATTATGAACTCAGTGTCTAGAAATAGAAATTGGTCTAACTGTCATGAGTCATGAATCTGGGGCCAGCAGCAAATGGACCAGTGAAACAAGACTCAGGAGTGCAGATAAGGACAGTGCTGAGTGGCTCTCTCTACCAGCTGATGCTTTTATGGGTTAGTAGGTGCCTACTTCATCGAACTCTCTAATTTGCCATGTGCAAGTCATGGAATATGTTTTTGCTTCAGTTTTATGAAAGCTGGTGGGAAAGCAAATTGTAAAACAATGATAGTCAATATGAATCAAATGAAAATGGATATTTTCTGTGTTCTAAAACATATCAAGACATATCTAAAGGAATAAATAACAAAAAGCTACTGAAACTAAAGTGCATTTAGTAAACTCATAACATAGATAATAAATCTTCCCCCCAAAATGCATATTTTGTCTCCTAGCAATGAATAAAAGGAAAAGAAAGTAAGTACCTCTCAATCATGTCATCAAAAAACTGCAATACATATAGGTTGATTTAGCTAAATATGTGCTATCCTTCCACATTTAAATCACAAAATATGAATGACAGAAATTAAAGAAGGCCAAAATAAATGGGGCTGTACATCATGTTCATAAATTGGAAAACTCTATATATTGCTTAGATGAAAATCCCCTCGGAATTAGCATAAAGATTCAATGCAATCCCAATAAAGAATTCACCTCATTTTTCTTAAATAAAAGACAAAAATTGATTGTAACATGTACTTAGAATTGCAGAGGACCTAAAATAGCTAAAAGAATTTTGATGATAACGCTTTTGATGGATTTCCACTGTGCAGCTTGCTGTAAAGCTACAGTCGCCAAGACGGTGCAGCTTTGCCATAAGGAAGATCTAATGAGCACTAAAAAGAGTGAAGAGTCAAAAATAAACATGTACCAGTAAGGCTAAAATGCACGCTGAGGACATCCACTAAGGATAGAAGTGGTGGCGTGGTATGTCTCACCCCGTTCATATGCTCTATCCATACCATCCTTGGGCATTTGGGGTTCAGGGCCTTCTGAATGCTAAAAGAGATTAAGAATGGTGATGAGAGTGTGAGCTCTTGGGGAGGGATAAGTGCTCTGTAAGAAGAGATTTCCAGAAAGCCTGTCTGTCCATCAGCAAGCCAGGAAGGGACACCTCCCAAAATCCCACCACAGTGACACCTTGGCTTTGGACCTCTATCTTCCAAAACCATGAAAAAAGTAAAGTTGTTTTCTTAAGCCTTCTGGTTGACACTCGATTGTAATAGTTGAAGCTCCAGGAGGTATTTTACAGCTATGAAAAAGACAGGTGAATGAGACCAGTTGTAGTTACTGGTTTTGGCATATCGAATACACAGCGCCTATCTTCGAAAACTCTTGAGCTAATTCGCCAGCGTGGTTTGGCGCATGCCTCAGGCAACCGCAAGCTAACGTCCGAGCTTGCAAAGCAGTGCAGAGATGCGATCAAGGAAGACCTCAAAGAGAGAAGAGCAGAAGTACTGGTAGATGCGGCAGAAGCCGGGAAAAGTATTCGTAACGCCCGCCTGTCCTTCGCCAACTATAAGACCAAGATGACTGCCCTCCGACGTCCTGATGGATCCATCACATCCTCCAGAACGGCAATGGAGAAGATTATCCATGACTTCTACTCAAATCTCTTCGATAGCCATGTCCACTTGCCAACATACCAAATTCCACAGGATGGGTATGTCGTTCCCAATGTTCTCCCTTCCGAAATCCGACACGCCATTTCGTCAGTAAAGAAGCAAACAGCACCCGGCCCAGACAAGGTCAGACCTGAACACCTGAAGAACCTGCCGTCAGTACTCATCAATACACTGGCTCGGCTCTTCACTCGCTACCTGTCTGAATGCAAGGTTCCATCTCAATGGAAAACCAGCAGGACCGTACTACTGTTCAAGAAGGGAGACATCCATGACATTGGCAACTATCGCCCGATCTGCCTATTGTCTGTCATCTACAAGTTGTTCACTCGAGTCATCCTGAATAGGATTGGCAGAACACTAGATGAAGGACAACCATGTGAGCAAGCAGGGTTCCGCAAAGGATTCAGCACCATCGACCATATCCACACGATAACCAAACTCACTGAGGTTTCTCGGGAGTTCAAGATGCCGCTCTGCTTAACGTTCATTGATTTAAAGAAGGCCTTTGATTCTGTTGAGACGGAAGCGGTCATTGAAGCCCTAGCCAATCAGGGCATTCAAGCCCAATACATCAGGATCCTCCGTGAGCTGTATTGCGGATTCACTACCAGGATCTCACCATTCTACAAAGAAGTGATCGTTGATGTCAAGAGAGGGGTGCGGCAGGGTGATACCATTTCACCAAAACTCTTCAGTGCCACCCTCGAGAACATCATGCGACGACTGGAATGGGAAGGAATGGGAGTGAAGATAGATGGTCGGCAACTACACCACCTCCGCTTTGCTGATGACATTGTTTTAATAACACCAAACATCAGCCAAGCGGCACAAATGCTGGCCGACTTTGACCGTGAGTGTGGAAAGGTAGGACTACAGCTGAATCTTACGAAGACAATGTTTATGAGAAACAGCCTTGTTCCTGACGCCCCATTCGCTCTCAATGGAACGACCATCTCCGAATGCAACAGCTATGTGTACCTAGGTCGAGAGGTCAACATGAGAAATGACCTGGCACCCGAGCTGCGCAGGAGGAAGAGAGCGGCTTGGAACGCCTTCAAGAACGTCGAAGGAATAGCTAAGAGGA